AAAACTGACTTCACTGAGAATAGAAACACAAGGAAACTGACGTGAAGGACAATTAAGCTGTACTAGTGCAAACAAGCAGATTGTAAAACTTATGGAAAAGCAATTTATGGCACATTTCTAAAACTTTTGCTCAGACAGGAATTCCAATAAACTGAGGAAGTGTCCAAAATGATATATTAAAGTGCCAATCACAAGAACATGCCACTAGAAGAATCAAAGGTGTGTGTACCTAGCTGAGTTGTGTGAAATTATGCATTCTGCTGCTGCCGCCAGTATAGCACTGTCTGGACAAAGATACCTCTTATTCATTTTACAGAATGATAATGACTGCAGACTAGACATCTTCCCTTATCTCATGGACTGATAGTTCTGTAGGGTTTATTTTATTTACTATAAGGCCTGGCCAAACCCTAGGATCACAGAGAGAAGTGCTATGTTTCAGCAAGAGTAGAGATAGTATCCAACATGACACTAAAACCTTGTGAAATCAGTTTTTAATTTTTAGATCTTAAAAATACAAAAATGGTGCTTGAGCTTACTTAAATATGCTGACTCTTATTTAAATCCAGATTCCCTTCTCTTCAAACACACTTCACCTTAGATAAAGCAATACACCTTTCTGAAAATAATGAAAAACAAAAAAAGGACAGATGCATGTTAAGACTCTATTCAACAAGGAGACTAGAAAAAAGCTTAGGAAAAAAATACCTAGTCTAATAATGAAGGTTACTGAGATATTTTTTTCTGATTGACAAAAATCAAGTATTAACTAACTTGGAATGTGAAACAGGAAAAACAGCTGAAGTATGTAAACATCTGTAGCTTGGATTTGCTAGGGAACACTTAGCTGTTACTCTAATTCGCAGTATTCCTATAAACCTTACCATCAACCGCATTGTAGAGAAGGCTCATATTTTTTCATAAAAGTAACCTCATCTACTCATATCTCTTTGGCAACAGAGGCTTGAATATAAAGGAAACTCTATTAAGGAGAGTAAAAGCAGATGGTGTTAAAGTTGGTTATAGATTCAATGAATGAAGCTACATAATTACAAAGAGGGAAAAAAAGCAGAAGCAGAACACAAAGCTTTTGTATCCCAGAAACAAGAGGAATAAAGGAAGTCCTTTTTGTGAAAGTAGTTCTTTGAAACTTCACAGCTTGCTCCAGAGCCCACTGGTGTCAGTGGAAGAAATCCTGCTTACCGCAGTAAACTTTAAATCAGGTCTTTGTAGATCTTTCAATTGTTCCGCTTAACATTAAAGAATGACTTATTTTCCTCAAGGTTAACACAGTCATGGAATATTTTTAGTAAGAGATAGCAAAGTTTCCTTAAAGGAAGCATTTGATAAGATGTGCAAAAATGACTGCAATAAAAGTTTCACCTTTGTGCACATCTATCTGTATTGCATCTCATTATACAGATGTGAAAAACAGGCCTTATTCGTACACTTGATGGAAGAATAATCTTTGGTAAACTTCACAGAACATAAAGCCTTCAAAAGCTTTTGAGATTAAAACCATGTCATGGTGTTACGCAGCCCTTCAGCTCCACCAGCAAGCTTTTAAAATCAAGTGAGAGAATTAGCGAGCAGCTGCCATAGAAAAATGGACATAAAACTGCGATCACACTAAAGACCACTTTTGTTAAGGATCAATCAAATGCCCTTTCTGCTCGTGCTGCACAAGGCTAAAAATAGTCTAAAAATTAGTGTCAGGTTGGGATCAGTCACTGAGTCAACTTCTGTTGCAAAGTGAGCCCTCTAAATGGGAAGCTGGAAGTAAGCCCACATGATTCCTTGCGCATGTCAGCAGTGTTGTGAAAGAAATCCTGGTATTTTGTATTAAATTTGCGTGCATACACGACCCAGCCAAAGGCCTCTCAGCCACACGGTTCCACATTCTTGCTTACACGCGTGTGCACACACGTAAACACTGGGCTTAGGTTTGCAGGGCGTACATGACTCAGAGGCCTCGCCTGGGAGCTGTGTGCGGTGGGAAAACCCACCCGCACGGCTGATGATTCACGGGGTGGGGATTGTTTGCAGCAAGGACAAAACAAAACACTAGAGCAGGGGCAGCCCGTTTCGGAAGGAGGCCTCGGCGCTGAACGCGGCCTCCCGCCCGGGCTCAGGGCACGGCGCCTCACACAGCACCAGGCGGCTGTGTGAGGTGCCATAGGTGAACCAACCATAGTTCATCAAAGCAGTTTTCGCCTGAAATCACAACAAAAGCTGCAGTAGCCTCTGGTATCATGTTCATCTTTCACAGTTGCTGCAGGCTTTGCCCAGCTCCTGGCCTTGTTTCTATGAAACCAACAGTTTTGTTTGATAATACTTAGCAGAAATCTCAAACACATTTTCCTTTAAGCAACCAGGCTACAGAAAAAGCTCTGCATGTCTCAGCAAGCCCAGTGAACGTTCCCAACTTGCTCAGGCTACCTGCCCTTTCCTTTTGGTATTTCCAGCTTCCGCAGAGCTTCCTCCCCTTCTGCGAGCTGCCTAGCAGTGGTGTTGGCTGACGTGACCTCAGCTTCTGCTTTTGTGCTCCACTCGGTTCCCCATTGTTTCTGCAACGCAGTCAGAGGGGCATGCTGTTTCCATATATGCTGATTATTGGAGATTTGGTTCCTGCATTCACGTTTAAAAATATACTCCCTAAAGGTCAGCTGTTCTTTATCAGACACCAGTCTCTGCCCCCACACAATGCTCTCTTTCTGCACAAGCCCTGACATGGTCACGGAGTACAAGAACCCCCTGATCTTTCCAAATACCCCAGGTGACACATTCGGTATTGTATATGGCCTGATTCTACTTTTGTTTTGAGAAGGCAGTTTCTTATGGGAAAACTAACTTGTTTTTGTGCACATAATGGTAATGGCACGTAATATGATTTCTAATTTCGCTTTATCTAAAAGTGATAACACTGCATATATTGACACCATTACTCCATAAGCAACATAATATGATTTCTAATTTTGCTTTATCTAAAAGTGATAACACCGCATATATTGACACCATTACTCCATAAGACTTGGAGTAATGCTTGCAGGTGAAAAAAGCAGCCTAGAGATACCAGCCTCAAGGAAAAAAAAAAAAAAAACAACAGATCATGTGAAAACAGCACCTGCTTACTTGGCAAATCTACCCCTGCATGTTCAGAACTTGCAGTGACAGACTCTAGATCCTGAATTGCCACCAGAAGCATCAGGAAGAGCACAAGTTACAGAAAATACCGTAACAAACATTTTTGGCTGCCACTAGCATATCTGTCACACAAACATCTAAGAGCAGAGCAGCTCCGAGATTCAGGTGGTCTGCGACCAGGACAGCTAATTATTTCACAGCAATTGGAAAGCTGCTCCTTCTGTAGGTGCTTCATCTGCAGGGAGGGAGAGATGAAGGCATGAAGTACCTCTGCAAATGATTTCATTTCTTCCTGGAAGGGCAGGTTGCGAGTTGGGTGTTTCAGCTGAGCACAGCTGGCAGCTCCAGCCCTGCCAGCGTCACGGGATGTTTGCAGGAGATGCTGGCGGGGAAGGGCTGGGTTTCCCGGGCCTTAGGGAAGATGAAGGTCCTCACACCCTGCTCCGCCTTGGAGCAGCAACAGTGTCAGAGCTTGTATCCCAGAGGCTGGGCTTCCAGGATCATTGTGCCGCAGTGAACCCCTTATCCACCAGAAAATACATCTTCATTTCAAGAGGAAGCTAAATCCAATTCCCATTTCCATTCCCTGGGCTAGTTATCTCTCAGGTTAACTCTGCTGGCAGCCTTCCCAGCTTGGCAGCCTGTTTGGCTAATGCACATTCTGGACTTGTCTCTGGAAAATTAAGGTGAATTAGCTGAAGCAGTGAGGGCGGCGCATGTTTCCTTCTCCCCCATGTCCCACGCCATCCCCTCCCAGGAGGGAGGCTCAGCACGTTCCCAGCTTTAGCATGCTGTTAGCAGACACACTGCAGCTTCCCAACGGCCCTGGGCACGCACGGCTTCAGAAACCTATGGACCCTCCGACACCGGGCAGGCAACGGGAAAACTGGATCCACTGGGGCTTGACTGGTCAACTTGGGTAAAACCAGACATTGAAATAACAGCCTGAAGTTGCATATGGTTTATCAACAATAACTGAAATTACTAATTCATCACATATTCATTGTTTTAAGTTTTCTATTATATATACTCACCTCAGTTCTCTCTCATCATGGATTTTAATAATCAAATTTCAACCAATAGTACACTTTAACATTTTGACTTTAAAGTTGTGAAATAAATAAAAATGAAAAGGGTCATATACATCACAATTAATTGATGTCAATGTAACACTAACTTGGAAAAATCACCTTGAGGTAATTACCAGTCTCGTAAAACTCACTTGTCCTTGCTATGAGCATGAGACTAAAACCAAGAGCAGACCCCTCCAGTGCTGTCACATGATTCATTTTTCAAGTATTATTTTCCTGGACAGGTGGTGAGAGAGATTTTCATCAAAGCTATTCTAATTAATTAAAAATCCAAACAGTTACTATATTATCTTGAGGTAGTAACACTTGGAAAAACACAGATTATTAATAGAGTCAATGCAGGATTTCAGGTTTTCAGAAGCAGTCTGCCCCAATCTGGTGAGTCAGTTGTTAAGCATCTACAACAGCAACATACTGAGCCAAGCAATTTGACATTTAAAGTGACTTTAACCTACAGGTTATCATGGGCTGGAAACTCCTGCTAAATGAAAGGGCTGGAAATGGAACTAATGCACCACCAAAGCTCTGACAATCAGCTCTTTTGTAAGCATTTCTGAAAAACACTCCAGATGAAAACAAACGGGCTGGGAGTGGAGGGAGAAGCTAGCAGGCATTTTCCACCATCCTCATTATTCTGAGGGTGGGTTCAAGCAAGCAAGCGAGCAAACAAAAACCCCTCAAAACAATCCTAATGGATTACAATTCTTTGCACTGCTAAAAGTAGAGATTTTAAAGGTCCTATTTCAAATTCCTTTCTTGCACCAGGAACTGGTGTTCCTTCGTGCAGTCCCGGCTGGTAACGTACATAGAAGCCTGCATGAAGGAGAAATACATCGTCAACTCTCAGCAGCCCTGTCCCAATGGAGCCCCAAACTGCCAGAGGATCATGTAAGTACCCTACATAAAATCCATGGGAGCAACAGAATCCTCTAAGTATCTGAATGAGATTTTTAGAAGTATTTAAGGACACATTTTAAAAAGAACTAAAGCACCAAACTCATTTTAATTCCAAAGTGAAGTAGGGTCTGATCGATGTACATGAGACATTTAGGCATCTAAGCAACTTGGCAGAACCCCTGCTTTGCAAAGACATTTGGTTACAAGACAGTTATTTTCAAAAAATCTGTTCACATTCACTTTGTCCAACAGTGATCGCACCATGTCGACAATTTTCAGCTTTTTTCATAATGAACTTTCCTGATTAGACATTTATAGCCATCTTCAAAGAACAACCAGGTGGGGGGCTTCATATGAGGTTAGTTTAATCACTCCAATACTCCACACAGGTAACATTCCTTATTAAAGGGCAAGTGTGGCATGGGAAGCTGTAATATAACTATCGTAACTATCAAATTCTATTGCAAGGTCTATTACAGTAAGTACTACAGTTATGCTTCTCAGTTACATGAGTTTGCCAGCTGTGACAGACTCATTTAAGAGTTCAGTCAGAGCTCCTTCAGTAGCCACATGTTTGGAAAAATATCTACTGCAGAAATAGAAAAGAGTGTGAGGCAGATCACCAGAGCACTGCCCATTAAATAATGTTTATGTGGTGCCTTCACATATGAATTTGCACATATCTCCTGTTACAAAACAAGTCCTGAAAAGCAATCTCATGCGCGGGTGGAGGCGGGGGAAAACGTGTCAATAACTGTGGACTGCTTAAATGCTTTACGGAGCAGTAGTGACACGTTTTGTAACAGACTTCTTGCCTGCTTTCAGCATTAGTCATCTCGGCCTCACCAGGCACCAGGCTCCCGTCAGAGTCGGTGACTTTACCCGGACTGACACCAGCTGGCTGTAACTCTAACACCCAGACCCTTATTCCCCAGGTACAGGACAGCCTTGAAGCCAGTCTATCAAGTGAAACAGAAGGTTTTGAAGTCTTTACAGTGGAAATGCTGCCCTGGATTTATTGGCAAGGACTGCCAACAGCGTGGTAAGGAAAGCTAGAGAACACGAATGGAAATGAAGACTAAGTTAGTCTTAATTTAGACTAAAAATTATGACTCAGCCTGTCCTGGTTGCATGGTCAGTGATGGAGAAATCCTCCCCTTGATTCTGAAGAAACTAGGTGTGAAAGAGTAAAGCTGGAAAAAAAGGAATTAGTCTGTGGATTTAGCTTTCACAGATTTTAAATGTCTTGTATTCTTCTGCGTAAAGAAATAGGCAGACTTTGCTTATTTGGTTCTCCTGTTTGAGAATCAAGAAAAGAACTATGTTGCATTTTCTTTGGTCTGCAATAGGTGTAAATAGTGACAATCAGTAACTATTATTCCTGTATACAGCTATTACAGTAGCTATTGCGTTTTAGTAGCTATGTGGTAATTTTATGCATGGAGAAAGGTATTCTTTCGATAGCGGGCAGAGGCAGAAATCCATCCTGGGATGCCTGACTTCAGGTAGACCCTGGCGACATCAGAAAGCACCATTACTATGTGAAACCACCCGCTGAACTGACCTGATGGGCCAAGTCATTTGCTAGGGAAATGGCAGCACATCCTGCTCCAGACAAGGCATCCCGCTGCCTCCGGACACCACACGTGGATCCCCGGTCCTACAGCAGGCAGCAGCCCTGGGACACGACCGTCTCTCTGCAGCTCTCACTCCACAGAAGCTCTGGCAACAGACCTGGCAATGCAGGGAGTTACTGCAGCTCTTTGCACTGTTGAATAATGGTGTGTATAGCTGCAGGACAGAACTTTCCAAGCTGGACTGCTCAATGACATGGCTAGAATTTGGCAAATAATGCTCTATTCAAAACCAGAAGGAGAAAGTAAATGACTAAAACATAATTCCCCAAGTAGGTTAAAGAAACCATTAAAAAAGATCTGCGGGAAAACTTCCATGCAAACTTTGTCCAACTCACCCACCCAAAGAGGCTCCCCAGATAAAACCAAACAACTATTTATTTTCTTCCCCCCTCTGCCCATCTCCAAGTTTAGCCTATCTTTGCCAGTTTAACTACAGGGCTAAGCTCCAATTTATAATGTTAGGAAGACAATATAAAATGCAGTGCTTCTAGTTTAGTTTGTTAGTTCTGTAACACATTTCTTGAAATATCTTCCTTATCTTCAATTCCTCACTTGTACAGTGTCACTATAGCTGGTAGCAGCCACTGTCCAAAAGTTTAGTTACTGGCAGCACAAGAAAGACAAGTTTGCAGATAGTTGGATAGTGCCCTTTCCCTTTCTTCTCCCAAAACAAAACAAACAAGCAGCTACTTGTAACTGAATCCTGTCCTAGGGTCAGTAAAGCAGCATGGATTAAAACACACGCAGCAGAACATCATCACCTGTGCGATGCTGCAGGCCAGAGCAGCAGTGGCCCGAGCCAGAGCTAAGAAGGTTCTCCCGACACGGTGTTCTTAGCTTGCCCTAAGGAATCTGCAATGCAGAAGTGTCTCTGTATTGGTTACATTTGTGAAAAGCTTCCGGAACATATTTTAGATGTAGAAACTTCCAGAATTGAGCAGGCAAGGCAGGTTAATTTCATGTGTAATGTATCACATCTCAATTGCAGATCCCAATTATATTCTGGTGCCAGCAAGTGAGACTGAAGGACTGGAAGAGGAGCAGTTCTCAAACCACAGTATGTTCTTCAAATTACTTGGTTTGCAGTTTTTTGTTTTTTGTTTTTTTTTTTTAAAAAAAAACTTCTCAATCACTGACTGAAGAAAAAATACGAATTTTTTTTTTCAGTAGTTATTTTAATGATGATTTTCATCATAATACTTCCTGAGTGCTCCAGACAAAGCAGCCAAAAGGTTCCCAGCTGTGAGCAGGCTGGCCAACAATGCAACTCCACATGAAATGCATAGATGGGACAAAACCTTAAATCTTTCAATGGCATGAATATTCACCTCCCTGTCCTAGAAAACGGATTCCAAGGAAAGCATGCCATACCTGAAAGTCCATGCAAATGCTGCTTCAGGGTAGCTACCGAGGAGCTCGCAGAGTTATTATGAAACACTGAAGATCTGCAGCTCAGACAGTCTATCCTGCCAATCTGGATACTTTGGATACTTATCCAAAAAAGACCTTTCCTTACCCCCTGGGAAATGGTATAGCTTGTGGCTATTAAATATCTGCTAACATCTGGCTTTTGGGTAGTATTACAATGCTGAAAGAGAGCCTTCTCTTACATTATGCTCACAGCACTGAATGAGCAAGCAGTTGCTTTACAGGACTTCAGCTTCTGAAAGCACTGAAAGGTCAAAAGTAACGCTGGAGGGTGAGAGGTCCTGGGACAGCACAGGGCACAGCAGTTTCTGCAGCTCTCTGCATACACTTTGCATTCTGCAGCTCAGATTACCAGGTACTTATTTCAAGTAACATCAGTTAAAGGGCCCTTCAAGAGAGTTCACTGTGACGCTTAAACCCCATGTCTGCAGATTCTCTGTGAAACATCTCAACTGCTCTTTCATTCTGCCCTTTTATTCTGGGTTGGTAAACTATGCTGTTCTTTCAGTCAATTGGTTTTAAAGCAGTTACTATTCCAGAGCTTGGTATGGCATGCTGAGGTTTCAAATCAAGAGAATTTCACTGACTTCATGACTCCCACGGCTCAAGTTTTTCTGTTAATATCCCGGTATGTTCATATGTGTCTTTATCGGTGAGGGGAGAGACAAAAAAAACAAACAAAACAACAACAAAAAACCCCCACACACCTTGCCAAGAAATGGGAATTTAAGCTGCTGTAAACCAGCTGGTCCCTAAATGTCAGTGCAAAATTTTCAGAGCAAAAAATATATATATATCGTTGCTCTGAAAGCCTGCAGGGCTGTACTCTGTTGTATGACTACTATATATATATTTAATCTTGTGATTAGGGGCAGCAACAGTGGATTCAAGAGAAATGCTGGAGGTCACTCAAGATCATGAGGCATTACTGGACGATCTTCAAAATGATATTCACCAAGCAGTCAACAACTTAGGGGACTTGAAAAGAATATTTGAAAACAACGGTACAAGCATGGTGTTACAAGCGAACCAGAGCAAGTCAGGTAAGAGCTTCAACGCAGCCCATTCCAACACAGTTAGGGATCAAATTGTAGTATAGTTCACACTAACCATGAGCACCTTTGAAATTGCTGAGCACTGGCCTGGTATATTCAGATTTTAGCATGGGGCATGACTCTGCAAAGTACAAGCTGTGGGCTGGAGAGCATCAGGAGAAGAAAACACTATGTAACAGCAAAAACAAAGAAGGGCAGGCTAGCAGGAACTGTTGTGAAAGTGGCCTGTTATGAAACGGCTGTCCAGGGATTTCAAAATGTATTATTCTTCTAAAGTAAAATGGATACTCAATATACCTCTGAGTAATTGTTTGCGGATTCAAAGGCGCAGCTTGCTGTACATCAGGCTTAATTTAAAATTGGGTTATTTTTGTAATTGTAAAGATACAGCATATTCTCAGATTCTAGAGAAGAAGATGGCAGTCACTGTAGAAAAATACTTTCCTGAGTGAACTGGACCAGATTAGGAAGCTTTCTGAAAGCGGATCTTAAAGAAAAATTAAATTTAAAAATTCATTTTAAATTAAATTTATATTTCTCTGTTAACAGAGTTACAGGAAAGGCTTCTGCAGCAAATTCTGTTTCCTCACATGGAGGATTTTCTACGGCAACATTTTAACCCAATGTGGGCAAGCTTCAACAGAAGCCTACAGAACCTCTCCAGCATGGTGAAGAACCTGTCCCACGCCGTGGAAGCCAACAAGAAAAGCATTGAGAGGTTCCATGAGAGCACTGTGCCCAAAAAGGACTTTCAGGAGCTGGGAACTAAGTTCGAATCTAAAGTTCAAGAAAATGTGATGAAAGTTGATCAGGTGAAAAGGGATATAGGTCATCAACTGCAAGTGCAGCAGGCTAATATTCACCATAATCTTACCATGATCAAGGCAGATACTGACACAAAGCTCAAGAGATGTCACAAGATCCAACAGTCCCATTTCTTAGCTTTGAACAACAGCATCGCAAACATGAAACAAGAGCAAAACAATTTTGAAAAACAATTTGAGGTTTTGAAAAGAAATATAACGGAACTCTTCTCACATCATGGTCCCAAAGATGAAACCACCCAGTTAAGCATCAGACAAATAAATGACATTCTGGCAGGGCACGCAAAGCAGCTTAAAGAACTTTACATAGAATCAGAGGTTGCCTTTCAGAATATCGTGGTTTTAGAGAGATGGTTTAAGGAACTGAAAAAAAATCTCTCAATGTATAGGCCAGAAGATCTTACAACTGCTTTAACGGAGAAATCACTTATTATTGAAGAAAACAAAGCAGCAATGGAAAAGCAGATATCAGAGCTCAACTACACTCTCTCAAATCTTCGAGAAAACTATTCAGATCTGTTGAGGTACATGGAGGAATGCAATTGCCAGAAAATACCTTCTGAAAGTGATTTACTGGAGGAGGATTTAAGGAATATCACTTATTCCCTTGAAGACACCCAATCAAACTTAACAGATATGAAACACTTAGAATTAGTTTTCAAAAATCTCTTGAGGAATGAAATTGAAGAGCTCTCCTCAGCTTTTCCATCTATCCATCAGTCCCTTAGTCTCCATCAAGAAGAAAATAGACAGCTTCAGTCACAGGTCCAGGCTTTTTCAGAAGATATTGGCTTCCTGAAGAAGAAAGATGAAGAAATCCACAGGCACATCAGGTATCTTAATAGTTCTTTCAGCTCTCTTTTGGAAGATGCAATGCGGCACGAAACAGCGCTGGAGGCTTTATTGGGAGAAGAAGTTATGGAAGTCTTGTTTGAAGAAGACCCTAGTACCCTAATATTGTCAGTAGTTCAGCTGCAAGAATCTCTCAGACACACTGCAGAGAAACTCCAAGAACAGAATGCGACTTTAGAATCCCTTGCCAAGAGATTGCACCTCCTCGAGAGAGGTCAACAGAATAAACGTGATGCTCGTACATCTCCCACGCATCCCGAAGAGGAAACACAAACACCGGCTGCCGTGGATGAAGCCGATAGTCATCGTGGCAATGTGGAATATATGGAACCTAACTATGAGGCTGCCAAAGACGACTCCTTGGATAGCTCAGGATATAATGATATCATGACTCTGAAGAAGGATATCAAACATCTGAGTCTGGCAATCAAGAGGCATGAATCAAGAGCTGACATGAATCTTTGCTGTAATCACACAATAGTAAACATAGTGGAGCCTCTCAACATTTCTGTGGAAATTCTCTCAGCAAATTTAGCAACCATCAAACAGAAGCTAGAGGAGCATCTGGTGATTTTCAGAAAGATGTTTGGAAGCAATGAAGAATTAGTTGCCTCAAATATAAGTCTGGATATTGCAAAGATGCAGTCAATGCTGACCAGAAAAGGGAGAAGGAAGCAGAAAGGTCAGGAGCAAAGAGACAAAAAGAAGTCTGACAAACACAGAGAAAATATGCAGACAATAAGTGGAAGAAATACAGTACAAACAGAACTCTTGGAAAAAGGTAGGTTCTCTTCCTTTGCTTGCTCTTGTGCAAATCCTGCCTCTTCCTTGGCTCTGCTCCAAGCATATTGCGTGGCTCTTCCCACGGCATATAAATTGTGGGACCCGAGTGTTATCCTGTGGGATACTGGAGGGAGAAGTTTTGACACTTTACATCCCCAGCTCCATCTAAACAAACAGCTCAAGGAATAACCAGCTTCATACACTGGTTTACTCTGTTTGAAGCCAATAAAGTTACACCCTTCATAGCTGCTAGGGAATTGGTCTTGAACTAATTCAAATTTCTGTGTTGAGAATCCATATTTTGTTTGTAGATGCTCATGTTAATACATAAGTTTCGTCTTTTGAAACCCATTGGGAATGCTGGGCTTCCTAGTTTTGCTTCTTTCTCTTCTGTTACCCGAGTCTGGAAGGAATGTGTTCAAAACACCAAATCCTTCCTAGTGTGAACAGATCTATTAAATTAACTGCAATAATTTGTACAGGTAGAATAGGGAGGTCTGACAAGAGAGTTCTTTCTCTATGTCTCCTGGCTAAGGTTCAGAGACAAGTTTTCAGCTTGTACTTCACTGGTAAGTGAAGGGCCAGTTTCCTTCTTCTGAAAACACCTCGCCATGAGTACAGTTGCCACTGCTTTTGTGCTGTTTTTCATAACTGTAGTCCTTGTTATGAATATGTAATACAGAGCAAAAAACAGATCTTTCTGGAAACCATGCCACAAAACTGTAGTTAGATTGAATAAGCAGAGAACATTATTTCAGATTACAAAAATGCTACGTTTCTTCTTCACAACCTCAGGCTTGCACTTTTCCAAAATACTGATCTAACCAGCATACACATCCATACATATACAACCAGTTGCTGAGGCTTATTTTGTTGTGACGTGTGCCTAGTCACTACATCCAGTTGTTTCTATACCCGCATCAATGCACACACCTTCCTCAGATAACTGAGCTTCCCAGTATTACAAGGGTACTGAGATTTCAGCTGTTTTTTGCCCAGATAGCTATTTCTCTGAAATACTTTAAACTGTGGTTAGGCTTCCATTGACATTGTTTTTTTTTCCCCCACAAGAGTAAGAGGTTACACATATCAGCAAAATAAAAGTATTTGCTATAATATGCTTACTTTTATACTTAATTTAATATTACTTGACAAGAACAAGGGAACATTCTTTTAATAGAAAAATAAAAGCCTATTCTCATCATGATCTCACTGAAAGAGCCATTGCTCTGCTGCTGAGGGATTTTCTTTGTGCATGATTGCTTCTCTGAAACAAGCTAATTGCAAGAGGACTGTCCACAAAGCTGAACATACACTGTGCACAAAGCAGAGTGCTACTCTCGCATATACTTGCAGACAGCCTACTAACCGCATTTTTGATTGTATAAATCTATTTGAATACAGCATTTCTTTTTAATAACAACAACAGTGGGAATACTAATTACAAAGCTGCATCCGTTCATATCACAGACCCTGAGAATGGAACAAATGGGGACTCTCACACCTGCTCAACCCTTGTTCTTGCTACCGTGAGGGTTGTGGGACTCACACCAAGGCTAAGAGCAACCGTTCTGATGCGTTCTAACACACGTTACCCATTTCACAGAAGTAGCCCCACAGAAAACTCTGTAGCTACCACCTGAGGCTGACTGCGCCTTTGACGAAAACACATTTGACCGGCAGAAGATAACTACATCAACAAGAAAACCACTCCCAAGCTTTACTTGTACTTGACAACATGGTGCTGCCACAGGCCAGGCCCGTAGCGGCTGCTCGTCAGAGCTGAGGCTGCGCAGGGCATGGGCAGGAGGTGACGGGTCGCGTTGCCAGTACCTGTTGGGGCGCCTGCGGGGATGGACTCACCCGGCTGAAGTAGTCGCTGCTCCTGCCCTCCCAAGCTCCATCCCGCTCCGGCCTGCCAGGCTGCGGTGCTGGCGAGGCCTGGAGGGCGGCCCACACCGTCCCGCTGCGGCCCCATGCCCCCACAGGGGCTTCCCGCCCGCGGGCTGCGTCTGCTCCCAGCTACGAGTAACTTGAGAGCAGGCACCAGGCCAGGATCAGGGATTGGAGCAAGCGCCTCGCAGACACGCTCTGCTCTACAAGCTCTGCTCCTGCTGATGGTCCTTGCCAGGACTCAAGTCCTTGCATGTTTAAGAGCTTGTCAGATTATTCTAAGTTTTCTCAACTATATAAACTATAGCCTAATTTTATCTCCAATTTTACCTCATTTTTGATGGTTTTTATGATAGATTTATAATAGCTACAACAAAAGTAGCTCTGCTGTACTCAGAGAGGAAACAGATGCTTTAGATCATGGACAGTGTTTCCAAAAAAAAAATATCTAGAATTATGGACAAAATCATTGCACAGTACCTGATATGAAGAAGTTTCATTTCATGACTTCAAGCTTCTGTGTAGCTAAAATAGTAAAAGATTGCTAATTCCTTACAACACATTTTGTGAGGACTGCTCAATTGATAGGTGATTTTAATGTTTTCCTTCAACTTCTTTACCTGTTTCAGTTAATCCGTAAGTCTTTTATTACATATAAAAGAAGAATAAATAATACTACCACTATTTCTAAATCTTAAAAAGCATGGAATATTCAAACATGTATACACTAGGGAAACTATTATTATAAAAATATAAAAATACCTTGAACTCCACTTAATTATTTGATTAAGATATTCTCCTTTCAAGTGGCAGCAACACGTCTATATGTACTTGTCATGACATTTACTGACAAATTCTATTTGAATATAATTAGATACTCTTTGCAAGCTAGGAAAGGACTTTTTCTGTCAGCACAATGCAGGAGATGCAACTCAAAGTACAGAACCACCACCACCAAAAAAAAGATTATTTGATAGGAGTGCTGTAAAAAGGAGCACTACGGAAGATCTCAGGGAGAGTATTTTTCCCACAGGTTTTACAATGTTTTACAAGGAAAGGAGAAAAAAAGGAGAGGAGAAGCATAACAAATTGTCTAGCTTAGGTCAGACACTACAGTCGGATCTGACTTGCAGGTTGGTGCCCCAGCCCCTACACCAGGCCGCTTCATGGAACTGAGCAGATAGGTCTGATTTCTGCATCCTGCTCCATAGAGAGCCTGGGTTCCCTGGGAAAATCTCCACAGGCCATTTGTAAAGTTCTGAAAGCCTATGAGCTTTACCCTGTCTCCTACCTTGATAAAACTGGGGAGGGAAGAATGCTCTTGGCTAAAACAGTGTTCCTTTTCCCTTTCTTGTTTCAGACTCATCGGTCGCATTCCAAGTGGGATTCTCAGAAGAAAAAGATAATGGAAAAACTCTGAGGTTTAATGAAACATACCTCAACTACGGAAACAGCTACTTCCCTGAGCATGGCTACTTTAAAGCACCACACAAAGGCGTCTACCTGTTCGTCATCTCCGTGGAGTTTAGTTCAGGACCAGCACTAGGCCAACTCTCTTTTAGCCGCGGGTACAAAAGAACTCTCTCAAGTAGTCAGAGGAAAACACCAAATGGAAATACTATGACTACTTTTGCTATGGCAGAGATGGAGAAGGGGGAGAGAGTATGGTTTGAATTGTTGCAGGGCTCTGTAATGAAACGGAGCCCACCTGGGACAACAATGGGTGGATTCCTAATATTTAAAACTTGAATATTGACAGTTTATTTTAATGATATACGTCCATAGATGCAATGGATCGGTTGACTACTGCTTCATCTGTGATGCATTCCACTTTACTGCATGTGTTTAAACATAGCACTATGCTAGATTTATCTTCATGCTTCTTTTCTGAAGTGTTTGGCTTTTGATTATTTGCTTATGAGCAGCAGTGGGATTTTCTTTTGGCAACAAGCTAATGACTTGGACTCCAGGTGTACCAGTATACACATTCCCAAAAACTTTCACTGAGAGGTTTTCACCCAATTACAGAAACTGCTTTGGGGGACCTTCTTCAACTGTAACACAGATCATTTCTCTTTTTCCCTGGCAACAGAGTACCATGTCCATGACAAACATAGCCACTACTGACAAGGGAAAAAATAGGAAAGAATATAAAAACACTTAAAGGGGGTAAGTAACAGCTCAAAATCAGCAGGTCAGGACAATTTTACCTCTTTGTTCTCTGTCCTTATACTATCTTGGGAACGTCTACAATTCACTCCAATCCAATGTTTCATAACTTTTCATAACATAAGAAGAGAAATCAAATCCAGCAAGATGCATCCTCTGCAATTATTTGTGGAGCCTCTTCCTTCTGGACATGTGTTTCACTTCAATTGAACTGCTAAGCTTAACAGTAACATAACATTGTTAGGATGAAATAGGTCTACATTAAACATTAAGAAAAACTTAACACTATTCAACAAATACTAGTCAAAATGCAGCTTAAAATACATTGGTCTACAGTCACTGTTGACTAGAAAATAAATTTGTAATTAAAGTAAGCCAGAAAGGGGAATTTCTGAACTGTGGAGCTCTTTTTAGTTTCCAATCTAAAGAGAGTCCCAGCCCCTCACAAGTAAGATATCCCAAAGGCTTCCACTATAAAGTAGCTCAATTATTGTAGTATATTACGTTGCCCATCCTAAAGCCTTACAAAACAAAACAATTTAATTTGCCAGTGACATGTATTTACAAATTATCCTATTAAATCTTTTTCCCCCCCCCCCTCAAATCTCCTCACCTGCTTGGACTATAAGCAACAATCAATTACAGAATTATTAAAAAACACTCTTACCAATACACTTGCGATTCAAACATAAAATTGGAGATTCCAAAATAATGGAACAAAGAAAAAGGACAAAGCAAGAGTTCAGCAACTCTTGAAAGTGAAAATAACTATAACTATATTAAACCATGCCCAACCACCTACTCTAAGACTGTGCCTTTTTTTTTAAAGCTTTGACAGAAAGCTTAAACCAGAGTGAGAGGCATGTGGCTCTTTGGAAAGAGACATGGTAGGGAGCAACAAGCAAGCAGGGAACAAGAAAAGGTCCAGAGATCTGATCGCTGAAGCTAGCTGTTCATCCCAATAGAACTTCTGAAGTTTTGGCATCCTTTGGCATCGAATTTCTTATTTTTGCTGGAGGACAAGCCAGACAAGTTCAGAGGTCATCAACTCCAGAATGCTACACAATGCTAGCCTAAGATGTTTGCACGTTCATATTTTTCACGTATGAGCTGAAGTTAGCCACCTGCATATACAGAGATGTCACACGAACTTAACTTGAACACAATCATTCTCAGACTATGAAGAAAGAACAATATGAATTATTATTGGCTGCAAGAAGCCTTGTCCTTCTCAAGTGACAAGAGGAAAAAAATGAAGGTAATGTTTATCAAATGAAAATATCAATCTTAATAAAATTTAATTCAAAAATATGCCATAAACCTTGATTTTTAAGTATGTCATTTCACTGCTGGTACAAATCACTTGCGATCTCATTCTTTTCTTTTTTTTTCCCCTTTTCCATTACTAAAATGATCTCCTTACACCACCCAAAATATAGGTATCCATTCCATTTCAATATTTTTACTTTTATTAGATCCATCGGTGTCTAAATTCTGCAGTTAGAAACACGTGCACTTGTTTTACATGAATCAATCTGATACCACATCAATCTGGTATCTGAAGTCCATGTTCGTCCACACACAGTAGTGGTCCTCTCATAAATCAACCTCACAGCTGGTATCGAAGCACTTAACTGAATTAACATCAGTGAGGAAAGACTGAACTGGTATTTTGCAAAGATGTGAGGAAAAAGGCAAAGAGAAAGCAACAAAAAATATATAAAACTCATTCCAATTCTTTATGAAGTTACTGCGACTTCTGCAATTCATTCCTAAAAACCTTGTGTTTTGCCAATTATTCTGTATGCCTTCTGGCATGCACACAAAGCTCACCCTGCCACCATCACTCACTCTTTGTCGCAGGATCTTGCTACCTTTAGGGTATTGCACCACCCTGTGGGCATGCCCAGGAGAAACACCAGGAAAAGAACAGAACAGTTGGTCAGAACGAAGACTGCTATAGAAGTTTCCTTTGCTCCTGGTATTTTCCTTACGCAAGCCTACAATGCTAACACCCCTCTCCAACCCGTCAGTTTTCACACCATCCCTGATCAGGGAAGTTACTCTTTACAAGCTGTACAATAGCCGCAACTATGGGGAAAAAAAAAATTACCCTGTCAAAACACTAAGTGTACGGAGTGCACATCTTTGTCCAGTGCTAACTCCTGTTATTATGTATTCAACAGAAAGGGTTTAAAACAGAAAATGTCTTCCACTGTACTTTCTGGAGCTCTACAGTGAAAATTTATCACGTGACTTTACAGGGAAAAAAAAAAAAGTTATGATTGTCTTTATGGTACACCAGTAAGTTCATATGATACTGATATACCAAACCCTTCTAGCTACTGCAAAGAGTTATCTTCAAAGATAATTCCTGAACAAAACATACCTTTACGTAGACAAAAAGGCATCAGACACTGTTCTTTCTTTTTCCTTCTTGCAAACTAAAAGTGAATTCTAAGGAGTGTGGTATCTGGCTGTAGCATTTGTGCAATGAGAAAACATATCCAGAGATTTTGTAGTAGAGTAATTCCCAGGTGAGATATCTCCTTGGTTATTCTTCTTTTATGCGATTCATAAAGCAGAATGACCATGGCAGGCTACACAGAACCTCTGGGTACCACCTCAATCTCATGGTTTGAATATCACTACATCAAAAGAATGAAAGTTGTACAAGATAATGCATGATAAGCTTGACCCAGAGGCAAATTTACAGTATTTAACTGACATGTGGTGGACTTGCACACGTCCAAAAACTAGAATTTATTCAAGTTTGACTTTCTTCTGCTTTTACTATAAGCCAAAATACAAAAAGAAAAAAAAATCAGAGTTAAAAAAACCCTCTGGTTTTACTGCTCTGTCAAACTTTAAAACAAGAACGTTATCTGAAATACAGGGCACCAAATGTTTCTGAAGACCATTAAATTAAAAAACACCATCAACAACTTCTTACATTCTGGAAAAAGATAAAACATGAAGTTTTAAAAAGAAGGGAACTATTTAGTTATGGTATTATAATTTCTAAGTCATTATATTTTTAAGGCAATCTTTTATAGTAATACAAAACACATTACTAATGTGTACTAAAATAAGGTTATTTACTTAAAAATGATACATTGGACATAAACTGTGTACAGAACAAAGCAATTCATGGTAAACTCAATAAGGCACCTTTTAAAGCAGATGCTGTACAAAATACATTAGTGTGTTACACTTTTAAAGGAGTATTCTACACTTCTGTCATATAACACACGTTAACAGTGTGACCATTCTCCTTGTTCCACCCTTTCATATTTTATTTACATCTTCTCTTGGTTAACTACAATGCCATTCTTCTTGTATACAATATAGTACATTTCATTTTGGGCATGGTACGTCACAGCACAACTGTCACTACATGACGTGGGCTTCTATAATTGCATTTAAAAATAAAACATTATGAGGCAACAATTACATGACATTTGTTCAACAAATTAAGAATAATGTGCACCCCACTCCTGTTAGACCAACCAAGGCTCCATAAAGCACGATTATGCAGCGCGGTAACCCAGTTTTAAACATTACCCCTATGTAGGATAAAGGTAGCAGGTAAGAGGATAATGTTTTGGACTTCAGAGACCTGGTCAGAAGAACAAGGAAGTGCTAAATCATTTTAGCTTTTGACAGAATGTAAGCGTAACTCCCCTACAATAACCCGAGAAGGCTTTTTAACTTACGGTTTTTGCTTTTCAAACATTTTTAGACTGCTAAAATACAGTCTGTGAAGACAAATCAGACGCTCTGTATCCAGATGATTCATTTCATAGCACATTCAAATGGTCATTTAGATGAAGATCTAAAATCTGATTCTGGACTGCTATGGAAATAAAGGATTAATTTTACATTTTATTCCATAACTTAAAAATAGACCAATTTAGAAAACTATCGAAGTAGTAGTGAGGCTGTTTTGCAGAACTGCTGGTTTCCTAAAATTCATGAAGTCTGATACTTCAAAATGTTTACCTTGAAAATATATTGAAAGTTTCTAGCAGCTATGTAACACTCTTGCTCAGAATTTAGCATTCCAGACACCTATTTCTAAAGGAAAATTCAAAGCTAAGCAAGACAGCAGAATACAAATTTGTATTTTTTTTTATAGGAGTATCATGTTTCTTGACGAATTAACAAGTTAATGAGGAACAGAAAGAAAAAAAAAACTCTTTGAATTAACGTAACAGCATAGTATCAGTGATTTGAATTATTCTCCAACTAACACAAATCAGAGTGGACTATGTAATAATAAAAAGTAATCGATTAAGAGCTTCCAAGGCATAGTTCTTCCAAAATAAATGCCACATGCTTTAATTTTTTTTCAAATTAAAATTGAAAAAATAAACTTAAAATTAAAATGTTAAAACAAAACAAAAATGCCAGGGTTGTTTGGGAGATTTTTTTGAATGATAAATACTTAAAATAATTTTGACCAAGAAAATGAGAATCATAACAACAAGAAAAACCTAGTCCCTCTCCCTCAAAAAGCTAATGAAATCTACAGTACTGTGGGAAGCAACTACTCTGCTTAAGCACTGACTATACTTAATCATGTTATAATAATGATGTTGTAATTGATGGACTGGCTTAGAGCAAAGTTTTGTTTTTTTTCCAAATGATTCCTAAAGTTTCAGTATACACATACTGATATTCCATATACACATAGACTCCAAACTGCGAATTAGTTTCCATGGAATGTAGGATATCTGCTCATGTGCTTTATCCAGTCAGGTCCTTTAGCAATTAAGATTTTTTGGAATAGTAAAGAAACAAGTATTATTAAGCACCTGGCAGTTCCTGTTCACATCAGTGAAAACTGCATCATATGTTTGAGTATGAACCTAGAAACTGACGTCCTGAAAAGGGAAGGTTTAGCTTAAGCCTAAAATATTTTTTTCTCACAAACATCACAGATGTTCTTTACAGCAGTCAGCTTGCTTCTTCTGTTAAAATGAATGTGTGACCCAATTCAGGTCTTTAGACGTTTACCAAAGATCACCATCCTATTGCCTTGCAAATGCCTAAACAACAGAGGAGACAATATATGAATAATTAAAACTATGGAAACTTACACTTCCTTTGTTTTACTTATACTACCACCAATGATTTCCTGAAGACTTGAGGAAAAAATGCAGGGGAAAAAAAGCAGGAAAAGAAGAAATAAATCAAAATGTCAAATAAGTTTACAGCTAATAAAGCTATAGCAATTTCTGAGAGAATTTAAAGTTAATCTGAAGAGGAATGGATTAAATTAAATATGCCTCCATGTTCTTAAAGGACAAGTTACCAGGTTACCTACATAAACATTTTTCCTTTCTATTGTTTGTTCTTCTTTAGAGTTTTTGTCAAACAAACCTTTTCCCTTACTACTTTCTTTTTTTTTTTTTTGGCTCACACCAAATTTTCTCCAACCTGTGCAAAAATTACACATAAAGACATGATTAACAACTTCAGTCTTGTACACTTCTTGGCAATGGACAGAAAACCCCTTTTACCAAAAGCCCTTTATCGTAAGAATTGTGGCACAATATCATTTATCACTTGTTGTTTGCAAATAAGTTAAGTCATAGTTGACACACCTATGAACTGTTCAGCCAGAACACACATTAATACTTAAAGGCATTACTGAACAAAAGTAATGACTTTATTTAAAAAAGAAATGTCCCTTGAAATAGCTAGTTTTCTATAAAATATGTAGCACTGTTAAATAAAGTCTGTACATCACAATAGAAAATAAAAATACTGCAATTTTTTGCCTGACCATTTACATTTTGCGAACTACAAAATTAAAAAGAAAAAACCCATTTGTTAGAATGTTGTAGCTGTTCACAAATCACATTAGTTCTGCATTACTTTGTTTTCTATCAGTTGTATTTTCAAGGGATATTTAAACACATTTAAACATTCTCCATGTACATATTTTTAAGACAACAAATAATCTGACATAAATCAATCTGAAGTTTTAACACTTCCCATCAATTTTAATATTATTCCTAACTTTTTTTTTTCTTCCAAATCTCAGCTATGACGTGTCTGTGCACATGTATCTAATTGTACACACGTACCTAGGACTAGATGTTAATAAAGCACAAAACACACTGTATAAATAACTTCCCTTTTTAAAGTTATCTAAAACAAGGCTTACAGTACGAAGTTATAGGCACTTAAATTATCGAATAGGTTTACTGGTTCCAATACTGTGTGTTCATTCTTCAGACGATTCACGCAATTGGAGTTTCAACTGGAGTTGTGGTACTGTTTTTGGACTTCAAACCAGAAGTGGCAAAGGAGACACGTTATCACTATCTGCCTTACAGCAGCCTCGTGGAGGGGTTTGGCTCCGGCTTTTTAACCCACTTGTCTAAATCAGTAAAGACAATGAGGAAAATAGTTTCCTGTGCATGCCAAAATAGTTGGCACAATACAAGCAAATTTTGCAGTTCTGTTTGTTTGCTGTATCTTCATGAGGTCTCTTTCCATGTCATTCCTCCCAAACATGACTAACTTGAATTAAAAATAATCATTGATTTACCTTTTTCAGAAAACTTGGATTTCAAAACTGTCCTCTAAGTAGCCCACAAACCCAACTCACGAGCGTTTTGCACACTATGGATGCTATCGTCAACAGGCCAAATCCTTTACTCTCCAGGTCTCTACCTTTACGGCATTCTCTAATCTTCTGTGCCAAGCCTGTGCTTCTTGATTTCCCCTTTTTGTATCTGTAAGTTAGACTTGTTCTCAAGCCTTTCAAAACTTAACTTCTGCTGGGTTTTGTCAACTGTTGAGAAAGCATGTTCCTACGGCTAATTCCTTCCTGTATGGAAAAGTTCACAGCATGACAGGCACCTACAGGTAAGTCCAAATAAAGCAGAAAGGCGAAACAGAACACCGCTGATCTGTTAAGATATGAAGTATTATACAGCAAAAACGCTGGTTGCATGTGGCATTATGAAAAATATGCCAGATTTTATAGTTGTGCAATTATGGAGCCCACTAGACTGTAAGCATGGTGGCCAAGGCAGTTTATACCTCTAAGAGATATTGTTTCAAGCTCTTTACAGACTCAGGTAGGCATTGGTTTATAACTGGTTCACATTTTCGCAGTTCTCTCTGCGACCAAAAGAGGGATGGAAATACAATTAAAACTGAGATTTTGGAGGATAATGTAATGGTAAGGAATAAATTCCGCAGCAAGTTCTGTGATTGTGAAGTCACAAAGTATTCGGAGCCCTGACCATGGAAATTTGTTCATTTAAATGGTTTCTTATCCATCCCAAATGGCAGCAAAATAATCCTGGCACACACATAAAGGCATAAGGAACTGTTAAACTGAGCGGTATCACAAACATATCCATAACCTACAGGCTGTTTCACAAAAACTTGGTATGAATTGACTAAGTTTTTATCAGGTAGAAGGCAAAAAAAGCTTATATTCTCCATCTCTGTTGAATCCATTTAGCTTGTTAGGCTTTCACAGAAAGCACTGTAATCTGAACATTCAATTCAGTACCCAGAGTTTTACTGGAGACTCACTAAGTATGACCGAAGTCTCAATGCAGCTCAAACAAAAAAGAAACGTGTATTTTAACAAGGCTGTCCATCTATGTAGCATGCGGAGGCTCTCAGCATCACTGTCTATGAAGTACTGAAAGATTTAATTAGCAGCCTGTAGAAGTGTGGTGAGGAAAAAAACTGAATCTCAGTTGCTTCCTCTTCCCACTTAGATCTCACCCACATTTGAGTGGAAAGTTCCAGGAGTCCAGCTTTGCTCCCTAGTGTCAGTTTGCTATGTCATATCTTTACATCTTGTGATTCCACCATCTTGGCAAGTGTCTTCTTGATCCTCAAGGCAGTAAGTCTTGACGCAGGATTATGGGCCCAGCATTCAGACATTAGTTTCAATATTGCTCTTAAACACTGAAAGACAAACGAACAAAGAACATCACTGAAACAACTAACAATCCCAAGAGGTACAGAGTTTTAGTTCACTGCCATGTCCAAATGACTAATTCCAAAGGTGAAATTCTAGTTTTTCAGCAAAACTACTGTTGAAAACTATTATAAACAGATGAATTAATAAACTGACAAAAGCCCCTTCTTTCTCCTTCCCTCAAATCCCCAGTATGGTAGGTACCTGGAACTAATGGAATTTTGCTTTCAGTTGCACACAGACACACCGCCACAGCTTGCTGTTACAATTTGAGAATGGAGGTACGTCAAAACATTCTTATGAACAGAGGAGCTGATGTCAAACACTTCTTTTATTGTTTCTGTGAGGTTTCAAAGTATTGAACTGCCTAAATTAAATTAAAACTGCTCCCTTTAGCTTAGAACTTGATGGTTCTAAGCTAAAATATCTTTCTTCTCATCATACTTACTTCATCACTATTCCACCTATTGGATACCACTGGGCGCAGGCGTTTGACACACACCACTTCTCTCATATCCTCATAGGATGGATCATTTGGCACCATATCATAGTATGGCAACTGATACTCTTCAACAATACCTGCAGATGAATGTGAAAGATGAAGCATCACAAAAAAGGACTCAGATTTCCTTAGCTAGGAGAAGTTAACTTTCTCACTGTACCAAGTCACACCCATCACACTGTGTTATTGTGATAAAACCCTAAAGTTTCAATGCAACAATCAGTTACTCATGGTTAAGAATATTTAGTCGAAAAGCTTATCAGTTCCTTTCAGTTTCCTTGAGTTGGATATTGAACACATAATTTGTTATCCTCTAATCTCTAATGCTTCCAACCCAAACCTGTGTTCTGTGCGTGGGTTGCTACTGCTACTTCTGAAGAAGGCAAGCTAGCTGACAGCACAATTACCTCTGTTGCACCATTTCCTAGAGAGGTAAATTGGGTTTGGGTCTGACAAATTTTAAACAGAATATTCAAAAGTTTACCTCCTGTGACACAGCGCCGAGCCATTTCCCAGATGATCAGCCCAAAACTGTAGATGTCAGCCATGATGTATGGTTGGAAATGATTTTTATTTAGGCTTTCATCTAGGACTTCTGGAGCCATGTAACGTTTTGTTCCCACTCTAGTGTTCAAGGGAACATCAACTTCGTTTGTATCACTGTATGAAAATATTAAGTTAGTGAACTGTGTAATTACAAAACATGGTATGAAATACTGCATGATGCAATCACTATGCTGCAAATCCCTCCTTTACAAATTAAAATTTCTTTCTATATTTCTCTTTCAATACTGCACTTACTATACAGATCATACCTCCCAGAAAAAGACTATGTAGAGAAATTACCATGATTAGCATACTTGACAACTAATTCTATTGCATGACAAAGAAAAACACATATGGATAAGCTGAATTCAAAACCACTATAAAGATGAATATGTTTGGCAACAACTCAGATGCCAAAAGTTTATGTTTTCTTTCAGGCTTTATTGCAGCAAAACAAAACAAAACATCCCACACATTTAAAATGTATTCAGCATACTATTATATGTATTCTTTTTGCAATTAAGCTTCAACTTCAATACTGCTCACACTTTCTACGAGACAGAAATTACGATGAAATTACACGCTAGCAACCTATAAAGCAGTTTTGAATGATCAATTAGTCTCCTCTTACTTTGCTCTACAAAGTTCTGAGTTACTACTTTTATTTCACACTTTCCTTCTCCTCTGCTTGACAACCTTGAGGAGCAACCTTGATATTTACCAGTATTTAAAGAACAAACTTTATTTCACTTTTAAAACAGCCATGCAACCTGCCGATTTTGTATCCCTGTTCAACTGGACATCTGGCAATTAAAAAAGAAGTGTGTGTATATATATAGATAGATAGATACACCCCCCCCACACGCACACCTTTTTAAAAAATAAATACTAAGTTAATCATATATCTATTTCTTTTATATATATTTTTTCCTATTGCAGGTACTTTGGTTCATTTACCTGTTAAACTTGACTGCAAGACCTAAGTCAGCAATACAGCAGGTTCCATTTTTCTTTATCAAGATGTTTTTACTCTTCAGGTCCCTGTGTGCAATAGCAGGTTTGCCTTGTGTCCCATAAATTTCTGTGTGTAGATGGCAGAGACCACATGCAGCAGAATAGGCCAGTTTGAGGAGAGCCCTGTTGTCTAGTGTAGTGCATTTCAGAAAATCATATAATGATCCATTTTCATGATAGTCTGTAATCAAGTAAAGCTGTGTCCAGGAGCCAGTGCCCTTAATGTCTGCAGCTATAAAACCTATTAAACATACAGCCAAAGTTAGAAACTTACTTGCACACAAACTCTTAATGCAACAGATTTAATATGAATTCTTAAAGTTATATTATCTCAGTATCAAAAGGCACCTCTTCCTCTTATGAAGACCAGTAAAAGGCATGTATTTCAACCATAAATTAGGTGGTTATTCCAGTCTTCTATCAAGGAGATGGCAGCCACACACATTTCCAACCAAGAAAAACAAGATCCCACTTTTTGGGGATCTTACATTCATTAGTAACCAGCAATCCATAAAAGAAGCCATATTCTCCTCAAAACATTCATTAAAAACGCCAACTCCTTCACCTTCCAACCCCTTCAATATCCAAGCAACGCATTCCTTACTCACCAAGGATATTTTCATGACGCATTAACACGGTTTGGTAGATTTCTGTTTCCCGGAACCAGCTGGCTTCTTCTGTGGTAAAAAACACCTTGACCGCAACTTTTTCGCCCCTCCACTTGCCCATCCACACCTCTCCATATCGTCCTTTCCCAACTTGCCTCACCATCTGGATTTGTTTGGCAATAGTGCGCTGAACCTATGGGGTAAAAAAAACATAAGGAGGTGTGGGGAACAGAAAAAATCAGCAACTTAGCTCAGATAGCTGGGCAAGCTGCCTATCGGACAAAACTCTGACTGCTTTGAGAGTAATTCTATTCAAAGAGTTTTAATTTTTCCTTCTATCCCCATTTTAAACTCATTTTTGTTGCTTCCAGTAGAGTATTTTATTAAAAGATCAAATCATCTTGACCTCTGACTTCTATCAGATTGCATTCTATTTTTTTTTCTAATTCAAATATCTTCACACTAATCTGTCTCACTGGTTCATCTTTTACTCATATGATCTTAACAATTATATAATCTCACATTAATACTCTTAGTATGAGTATTAAATGTAATGCTTAATCTAAAAATGTGAACAGCTCAGCATATCAAGTGCAAATCTATCAACAGTGAAAATGAAAAAAAATCTTGATTTTGCTCAATTGGATGCTTCTATCAACCATCATCGTGTTTTTATCCTATCCTACAGGATCTAGTTTTTCTTTTTATTTAGCTGAAGCCAGATTTCTGAAAAAGAGAGTCTAGTTTTGCACTTGATTTTATTTATCTGAAGATAGGCTTTTGTGTAGTTGTGCCTTGTATAGTATCTTTCACAGTAATTGCCTATACAAATAATTTACATAAAATATTGAAACTGCTTTCTTCTAGGCACTAAACACAAAACTAAACTTTGATTTGATGCAAAGAAGATCCGTGAAGAAAATTTTCGTTTATGTTTTACCAGCAACGGTAGTCCTGATCCACTGCCTGAACTCTGTGACTGGTCAATAAGGTCTTTCAATGACTCCCCAGCTGGAATAAACGCTTCATCTTGCTCCAGGTCACGATTATAACAGCGTCTCTTTGCCACCCATTTACAATAATGCCTGTAAAAATATATATTAACAAACTGAGCTACAAAAGCTATTTGAATACACAAGCTTTTATAAAAATCTGGATCTTTAAGTGCACTCATTTCTTTCAGAGATTCTGAGTGTTTTTTGATATAAAGTGGTTGTTACAATTCATGTAGAGGCACATCAATTTATGACTCAAGGGCATAAGCAGCATTTTTAATACTCAGATCACAGCCCGGTTTTACATGCTTAAAGCACCACTGGTTTTTGTTTAAATAAGAAGTCTAAACCTTGAACCGTGGCAATTGAGACTGGCCCGTGCTCATTTCTGCTGAGGCTGCTAAAGCACTGCAGCAGACCAAAACTGCACCACTATGAATTGCGACAACTCAGCTGAAGGTATTCTTAATGCAGGTCAACTTAGTTTTAACAAAGCAGAAAAAAGGAAAGTTGAAAGATATTCTTGTTGCTAGAATTTTAGAAAGCATTATACAAATGTAAGTCTCAGGAGTAGGACAAAAAGAAATAACAGAAGAGACCTAAGATCCAAATACAGAAAAGCAAAGACAGCAAAGCAACCCATGCATTAAAATATCCATTTAGTGAATGCTGTATCTTAAATACTTCCACAGTTTAGAAAACTAGAAATAGTTATTTGCAGCTAGATTAAAAGATCAAGTTCAGTAAAATTCTATGCTTTGAGAATTCCATCATTTCCACTTAAGATTACAAACCAGTATCCATGGATATGCAAAGTGAAATTACAATGGTTTCTACTTCTATCTATTTTTATTAGAAATATATATGACCAAATACATCTACAAAATAACTCTTCTTTTTACATTCATTTGGGAAACAAACTGAATTAATCATAGAAGAGGTTTCCTTACTTGTAACAAAAGCAACTAAATAAGATGATCATGACAATTATGCAGACTGCCATAGAAATCAACACTGCCATCCAACGAATGCTGCCGTCAAAAAGTCCATCTGTTAAAAAAAAAAATCTATTAATTATCTAATGTAAACTTAATTTAGGTATGACCTTCTCATATACTGCATATTTTGGCACTGCACAGTAACTACTTTTTACAAAGTATGACAACTCTATAAGTCTTCCCAGATGGAACGCTTTGCCAAAAAACGGTAAAATAAAAAGTCATTTTAAGCCTTTGAAGCACTGCGTTTTTTTTTCCTGTATTAACATTATCAATGCTACGTATAGCTGTATAGATCTACGCATGCATAATTGTGGAAAGTAAATTAAAACTTATTTCAGTGGCAGCAGGACAGACCTATAGAGAACATAGCTGAAAAAGCACAAGATTGAATGAAAATTGTCAAGATTAAATAAAGTAAATAGTATGTTTAATATGAAGTTTAGTACAGAGCTTCATACCAAAATGAGATATTAAAGAACAGAAAGATCCATTGATTGTTTCTCTGTATTTTCCTTAGCTGATCGGGAACAAGAGAACCTACAAAGCATTGGCAGCAGTCTGAACACCTAGGAGGTGTTTAGTGGTCTACCTGTACTATCAAGCGGCGGTAGCGTTGGTTGTAGATCCTGGTTGCAGAAGTCGGTCCGACAGCACTCGATCGTCCGACGCAGCTGGGCTTTTGGCGAATCCTGGGAAATAGAACATGCAGATCCTGAGTGATCACCTAGCAAGGGGACTGGAGTTGGTACTGATAACAACAGAGACAAATGTTTAGGCCATTTTCTTGAAAAAGCATTTCAACCTCACTGCTGAATGTATGAGACTTTTTCTTAAAGTCTCATGCACCTGCCAATCTTCGGGCTGCAAGCATTTTATGTTCTCCTTTTTTTTTTTTTAAACTTCTCCCAGAACCTCTTTACTGCATGAACAGAAATAGGCAATTCCTACTTAAGCAGGTACTTCATATTTTGTAAAACTGCTAAGGGGGGCCAAAAACAGCTTACCGTATACTATATACACGGTTTATTACTATATATATGGAACCCTGTTTCCATATTTAGTTAAAACTACATCAAATTCCCTGCATTCGATCAATGCCCTCACACTCACTCACCTGCTCCTAATGGATACCCCCGTAACAGCGTCCATGCCACTGTCACATGCTGCCTTCCAGGCTCCTTGTCTCTAAATCCTCCCTGCTCTTAGTTAAACTTCCACGGATATTTTCAAGGGATGTCAGCACTTTGGCAAGTGTTTGCTTTTTAAAGTATGTATTTTGGTCAGTATTTGACACCCTTTATCATAGTTTCTGACTAGAGATCTTCAGCATGCTCATTTAGCACTTAGCAAAAACTGTACCCCTGCAGGATCTTATCATTGAAAGAGAAAATTTCAGGAAGAAATATTACTATTTTTACAGCTAACTAATCATCACTTTCTTAATTCTGCAGGGAATATATCTCTAGCTACCCCTTTTTTTCCTTTCCTTGGAGTATATATTCAAGTAAATATTTAATTTTCAACACTGAAACTGGCAGAGCCTAGTTAAGTGAAGGTCCAGGTATTTGATTCGTCACCAGCAAGCCATCATTCAACGTGGTGAAGGGTAACATGCAAAATTTTATGACAGTCATAAACTATATTATACACTAAACTAAACTATAAGTCATAAACTATACAAATTTTAACCACTTAGGCAGTTTCCCTAGATAATCTCCACAGAGATGTTGAGATATCTCGTTTGTACCTTGCACTGGAAGTCAGAACCTTCATACTTCATGCAGCCAGAAGCAAGCGTAGGTTCTCCATGTTCATCTTCCTCAACGATAGCAAAGCAATGCCCGTTTGTTCTGGAATAAACACATCAGCTGTAGTTTAACAGCCTGTTTGCTGTTTACTGTGCAAGATTACTTAACCATGAATCCATTAATACTGGCACTGTAATATCTAAAATAATTCTTCAATAACACAATTTTGATGAGACCAAAAAAATCCACCTTACTTTCAAAGAAAACACTGAGGGTAAAGTTTTCTCTCAAATATTCTTCCCTTTCCTTAAACAAAAACAAACCAAAACAAAAAAACAAGTAAAAAAAACCCCTTTAACTTTGACAACCACACACACATGGTTGTTAAAAAAACAAAACAAACAAAACATATACACACACAAAAACCCAACCAAACAAAAAAGCCCCAAGCCATCAATTCAGTCATGTCTTCTTAAAATTGCAATAACAACACTAGGGAATAGCAGCTTTGGTACAGTAAAATAGGATCGTTCAACCTGCATAACTACACTTTTTCCAAAAAAACTTACTTATGTATTCAGTCCTTAATGGGAGTAAGAAAAGAATACAAAAGCAAAAAGTAAACAATTTTATTCTTGCAAAAAATAGAACTTGAATTTAAATTGTCTTTGACTGTATTAATTGTCTTTTTACAGTATCATGTAATTCCCTGTCTTCAAGGCCTAGACTACAGTGTGCACCAGGGGGCGATAAGAAGCAAAAAACTTAATTCAAGGGCATTTAAAGACAATACTGAATCATAATGCAAAAATAAGTTTCCAGGTGCAAAAATACATTCATAAAATACTACCTACATGTACCTTTATAAACAGAGCATTCGTGTTTCTACCACTGTCCACAAGAAAATGCTTTACATGCCAAATGATAGCTAGAGAGATACTCAGTACTGCATGCTAAGGATTCAGACTACATAAGAAAGCCATGTTTTCTGTTATGTTTTATTACAAACTCCCTAAGCAAGCACATAATTAGTGAAATAGTTGCCTGGGAAACTTACACCTACCAAAGTTAAAAACTATCTATCTCTCCCTATGGTAAGAGGCATTTATTGTCCATTCCTCCTTTTCTCTCATATCTACTACTAATGAACACGTAAGAAGAAAAATTCATAACAAATGGCCACATGGCACTAAGTAACATTACCTTCTGACTACTAGGCGAAGAAATAATAAGCTATATAAACACTCAGCATTGTTAGAACATTTAAATTTGGGTAATTTAATACTCACCCAGTTTTAAAATGCTACAGGTTACTTAAAATCTCAATCCTTCAAAGCAAGTTGGCGGAGGCAAAACAACTGGTTGTGAACAGTTCTAACGTGGTGAATGTAATACATTTTACATATAGTTGATTAGAGACTTTTAGCATTCAGCTTTCCATAGAATTAGTGGATTTCTGATCAATTATAATTCTGATTAGTAAATTCTGATCAATCTCACTTGAGAGAACTGAAGTCGGCACTGTAGCAGCATCACTACTTTTATCTGTAGTGAGTCAAAAAGAGACTTTTCAAGTTCTGCTGTGTCCTGTATGCAATACTTACATGCATGTGTTATTAATAGCATCATCTGGACAATGCCCTGAGCAGTAGCATTTAAGAAAGGGTAAGGTGTCCTCGGGAGCGAGTGTTACTCCATCTGCCTGTTTCTTTTGGTCAGGATTTGTCTTCATTCCTGTGCCATGATTTTGTCCTGAGCATTGAAAGAACAACAAGCTATTTGTAATTGGTTAAAAACCTTAAGAAAAAAAGAAAACAAGAAAAACCAACCAAGCAAAAAAAAACCCAGAACAAAACCCACTCACCAACAGAATGATGATATTAAAGAATAAGAGTGAATTATATAAAGCATAAGAAAACCTTCTTATGCTGTGGGATCATGGCAGCAATTTTGACTTAAGCATTTTATTCTGGAAATAGCTGGCTCAAATGCTTTACATCAGATCATTCACACGCAATCACTAAAGAGGAAGTTTTCCCTTTTTGAGACAGGACAGTGATGTAAGACTGGTAAGAATTTTGTGAAGAAAGCCCTTTTCATTCATGTGTTTTAAAAACGAAAATACTGGCCAGCTCAATGCATGACTGAATACACTTAATATGCAATTTTCTAACTCTCTGCAGTCATTTTTTTGAAGCACAGACTCACAGAAGAGCTATAATAACTCCAAAATCTCGTTTTTTTTTTTTGATCTCCATCTGCATTAGTACTTCAAAACAGAGCTAAAGTAAATCTTGTTTGCAAATTAAATTTTAGTCAGTGACGTGAACATCCACACAAATGAGCTTTCAAAGAATAAAAATAGGCCTAAATAAAGTTCCACGCAGCCCTTTATTTCACAGCAGTAAGAAATAGTTGAATATCATTTGCTCTAGATGACATTACTGAAGTGCTGCTCTGAAAGTCAGCCTTCATAAGAAAAATCCCATCTGTTTTCTTCTTAGGGAAAAACATCCAGGAGAGAAAAAAAAAAAAAAAAGAAGAACATTAACTGCCTCATTTGGCATATGTTCTCTGACCGCTGCATAAAAGACAAGAGCATCTTTGTCCAGCTCCTTCAGATTTTTCAAACAATTTCACTAGCAAAAAACCTTTGGTATCACAGTATTCTTGGCTCCATATGCCTGCACGGGCAGGCGACCTGAGTGAAGCTACAAGACTTCTGACCAGACTATGACCTGCAGGGACAGCATTTACAGCAACCCTGTGTGGGGTGCCCAACGCGCAAGATAAGCAGACCCATGCAATTAGGATTGGTGGAAGCCCTTATTACAATTCAGCAAGTGGAGATACCTCTATACTCTTCAAAAAGGTTTTAATCACACCGAAAACCTCCGATATATCTGATGATTTAAAAAAAAAAAAGAAAGAAAAAAGACCGGGAAACCCATGTTCTCTTTTGACATGGATCTGTGGCTTCTCATCAAATCCACTAAGTACTACCCCTGAGGTAATGGGAATACTGCTTTAATGCCACTCTAATATCTAGTAGAAAAACTAGGATAAAAACTTTTGAAGATAATATCTGCTATATCCTAAACCACTACGTCATTCAGCCAAATGGGAGATTAAGTATTTTTATAATTTAATTTAATGTTCTAAGAACAGCACACAACCAGTTTTCCTCACCTGGTCAATACAGCATACTGAGCACATGCTCCTGATTCAGAAATTCCCCTGAAAACAGGCACATTGTGGCTTTTGCACACAACTAAGACCACATACCAAGAAACTACTATGCAATAGTTTATCTATACGATAATCTTTGCAGTATAGCCATAAGGAATTCTGCATGTATGAAATGGCTCCTCCAGAACCTGTTCTTACTCTTTTCCTAGTCTTCTTCCTAACAAAGTCAGAAATGTTATTTTAATACCATGCTACTTTCGCAGCATTCTGTTTTTTAATTTTAAGCTCCTTATCTGCTGAGAAAACAGGTAGTTCCACGTCCTAAGCTTTACTTAAAGAAAAAGCCATTGCCCATACACAAGCGTTAACTAACACTCCAACTTTGCACACCTACTAAGGTGATTCGAAACGGAACAAGGGAACCCTCAGTGCACAGCTACTCAGAACAGAAAGAATAAAATTCTAACCCACAATTTATAATAGAGACTACCATAATTTTGTTTCACAAAGAGTATTTATGAGTTGCACAAAAATAAGTCACTTGACTCTTTCATTATTACTTTCTAGAACTATAAGAATAAAATTATTAAACATAAAAGATAATTGAGTATCCAGGGAGGGAAGGTTTGGGGAGGCAGAGAAAGGAAAATACGGAGACTGTTTAGGTTCATGTTCAGTGGAAAGCTTTGAAATAGCTGTACCTAGAATTTTACCCCCAACTGCTTTTGCATCCTTTGCGGTAGCACCAAGGTCAACCTTAGCATTTCAAGCAGGTAGGGGAAAGGAACTGCACGTGAAAAAGAACTTGTCCTACATCAACCTGAGATGCCAGGGATAGGTCAAGATTTGTGTGTGGGAATCATCACAGGGTTTTTCATTGCTGCTTTTCCTGGTTAAAAGCAATTGGAAGGATGACTGAAAGTGAGTGAAGGATGTGCCAAGACGATGCTCTGCCTCAGGAATCACAAGACCTGGCTCTATCGATGCTCAGCTCATCCCTCACCCGTAGTGCTCCATCTCCTCCAACTGCTTTACCAGATACGGGGACAGGAAAATGGAGGAGCACTTTTTAGTGCCACTGCACTACCGCGAGGACGTAATTAACAGCTTCTCTGTCACATTCACTTGTCAGCCCAACGGTGGAGCAAAGAAACACCCATACACTCTGCACATACGGATAAGAAGGCATTGAAATGGTTTGAAGACTAAAGAAGGGGGGAAAAAAAAAAAAAGCTGAGGAATAATTACTGCCAACATAACACAGACTGCCTTTGATCAAAGCCATCAATTATTCAGAGAACCATTTCCTCCAATCATTAAATAAAATAGTTAACTGACACATTGATTTTCAAGAAGCACAGTAAAAATATTGCTAAAAACATAAGTCTACTTGAAAGCATAGCCTAAAATACAAATATTAATATAGATTTTTTTATAAAGGCATTTTGCATGACAGTGAAGTGATATTAACCACTAAAAACTGAGCAAACTCAGTTGCTGCTTAACAATCCATTTGCCAGGATTCATATGTAATTTGATTAGGTCTTCTGATTTAGGAAGACATTTGTATACTCCATAAAAAAAACAAGTCTGCAAGAGCCACAGAGACAGAAAGGGTAATAAGTGAAAGAACACAAACACACGAGCCAAATTATGCCTAGAATTTCGTACTTAACTGTATTCTCTTTCTAAAACGAATGCTAGAACTAGCAGCCTACAACATTTCAAATTACTGATGGCTTTCTGAATTCACAGCGATAGTTTTCCTCTAACTTGTTTAACCAAATTTTTCAAACAAAAAGATTTTTATTCAAGAACAAATTGTCCTTAAAACGGGTTTAATCTTAGCAGAACAACAGTACATACTCTAAGCATTTCTTTGTAGCAATCCAGTAAATTCTGTATTTCAAACAACAATTATTTTTTCACCATTTCTCTCACTTTGCTGGTGCTCAAGCTGTTCACACTGGCTAGCTGACACTTGGAGCTCGCCATCACTGATGTCCTGGGCTGATGTCCTTTTTATAAGAGATGAAGGATGGACCAAGCCTCTTCATGTTAGGCAGGCCTTCTTTATGAAAAATAAATCACCTCAAATTTTGACATGGGAGAAGTTTAAAATTACTTTTCCTAGCTTTGGGATGCAGATACTCAAAGTCTTCCACTACAATAGGGAACTGTCACTTTTCTGTCCATCAAAAGGATCCATAGTGAGTTCACAGGTAGTGCTATAGTAGAGCTGATACATCTCGATTAATATTTCAGTACTTAAAAAAAATAGTAATAATGAAATAAACAATGCAACCAGAACACTTCTATGAGTGTAAAGAAAGCATCTTAAATGCTTTTCTGAGCTCTGCATATGGCAGTTTTGCCACAACTCTGCAGGTAGTGAATTTTGATACATTAAGCCCGTGATGTCCACAGAGCAGGCACATTACAGGTAGTTCAGTCTAGCAAAACTGGTTCCTAAAAATCACAGCAAGTTCCCAGACTATTTGTTTAAAAATCTCTCTCTGCCGCCCTCCAGCTTTCCCAGGAGCTACACCATAATGTTCAACCCTGACAGGTCGCTCTCAACTTCCTTCCCAGCCTCTAGTCCTACACACCTTCCTTCCTAGAAAAGCGATTTCTAAGAAATGCTGTTCTGCTCTGATGTATTAAAGTCACAGACAGAAAGACTTATGTGTGTTTTTTAAGGATATGTTCTCATTTAAATGAAATGCACTTTCAAAGATTAAAGTTACTTGAATCAAAATTTGAGATCACAACAGCCTTGCGTAACCTTTGTATAATCCACCACAGTAACTTGAATCACATAAATATTTACTGATGCATGTCAGCTGCCGGATTTTTTTTTTTTTTAATAAAAGCAGCAGCCATTGGGAAACAACTGGCAAACAACTGTAAAGATCTACATTGGCTTCTCAGCGCACCAAGCAACTTCTGCAGATTCTGGAAAAAAATCATTTCAGACCAGGTTAGATGTTTAATGATGTTAGATGTTCAGTTTAGATGTTAGATGTTCACGTTAGATGTTAGATGTTCAGTTTAAACTTTTAAATTCACTAATTCAGAGTTCAGAAAGTTCATACAAGTTAAAAGCAGAACTCTCTCAATATCAAATCACCGAATGAAGTATGAGAGAGTGAACTCAAGTTTCAATGGACAATTTTTTCAGTGCACTAATAGACAATACTAACTGTGCTCAATACGTCTGTTTTGAAAACAAAAGTATTTAATAAACTTTCCATATCTCTTAAATGAAATCAGTGTTTTAATAATCTAATAAAAAGGATTAAAATACTGATTTTCTGCAATGTATTTGAAGAACATGCAAAGCTTCATGAACCACACATCTAATATTACATCATATAGCAAACTGACAGAAATAAATTGCAAAGGTTGTGAGCCTAAGTATATATTACAGAATGACTGCTCTGCTGCATATTTGGGTTATTTACCATTATCAGTGGGACTTTAAGCTTAAAAGAAAGTACAAAATTTACAGTCCCAAAAGATCATGCCATTCTCACCAAAATGCAATGCTGTGAAGTACAACAACGAAAAATAAAGCCAAGAAGAAAAAAAAAAAAAAAAAAAAAAAAACACACTTTCATTTTGCTTTTTTAATTCAGATAGCAAAACATTACAAGAGAACATGTATTTGTACAAAATACTTATGGGAAGCAAAAATACAAGTCTTCTCAACATTGGGAAAAGGAAGCAGAAATTTTTGCAGAGCCTTTCCTAAATTCAACTCTCATGCCGTGAAATTAAAGAAACAAACCTGTGCTTCAGCATTTCCACCTGCCTTACAGAAGACACCGCTGTGTGAAAAAAGGATGTCTGTCCTAACAGTCACACCAGTGACTTTCTACTTGGGTTTCTGTGCTGTAAAGTAGCACTGCACTACAAAAGAATTAACTCTATCCTGAAATAATACTGATTCTTTCAATTAACAATATGGAGCTGTGGTAAGACGGAAGCAAATTTTGTGTCATTATTCACCAATGAAGTTGATATCCAGCCTTACATGAGCAAAAGCGGAAGGCACTCGACTAAGGCTGTGCATAAAAAAGGAAATACAAGAGCATGTTTCAAAAAGTTGCTATTAAAACTTAACCACTTGTTACCCACATTCATCTTCTATTACTTCTCAACTCGCAGAAACCAGAGCAGTGCCACCACAATTTAAAAAAAACCACACATTCTAGACAGTAACCCTCCCTCATCCCCACTCCTTCTCCGGAGGTGAGAAACATCTGCTGCTCAGCAGCAATTTCATGGAGTTGTTCGCTTGCTGCCTTACCTTCATGTTATCAACAGGTACAACCGGGAGGTGAGAAACACCTGCTGCTCAGCAGCAATTTCACTGAGTTGTTCGCTTGCTGCCTTAGGAATACCTTCATGTTATCAACAGGTACAACCACATATTTAAAGTTCATGTGAAGGAATGTATAAATACAGGGCACACATGTGCATGTATATGGACAAGTTTGCTTTGCTCTTTCAGCCCCAAATACCAAGAACTTGATGAGAAGTAGAGAGACGGGACTGTTTTTCTACTCACTGCCCCTAGAAACCGAACATACGTCACACAGCTGAAGACAAGCCCTTAGACAAGTTGCATCAAAGGAGCAATATTTCAGTTAGGTCAACTTCCCCAAGGTTTTTAGAACTTGTTCAGTATTGATTTGGAAGTTAGCTGAAGCCAGTTTCTTCTTCAGAAGCTGACGTCCTTAACAGAATATTTAAACTTAATTTAACTATATCACTTACAAGAAAATACTGAAGCATCTGTAACAAATGTGATAATGGCAGGAGTCAATATAGTTTACTTCTAAGTGACTGTAAGGATTGGTATATGCTGTTGTGTAGTGAAATATTATGAGAGAAAGAAAACCTCTTTACTTGAACTACTGCATATTTACCTTGAACATGCAGAATGATAAGCAGATAGGCTCCGAGTAATTGCTCATAAACTCTCAGTCGAGTCATTGTTCACTTCTAATCGTTCCTGTGCAAAGCAACTGGCCCTGCTGCTTGATAAATGTTAAGCTTGGCCTGTTCAGCGAAGCCCGATTTAAGATCTGGTGGCTGACTGCAAAGATGATACTGCAGCTTTTCCAACTTTTTTTTTCCTGAAAGATAGAAAATAAAATGAAGGTATAAGTAATGACTTGCAAGGAAAAAAAGATGCAGCACACGGAACATAAAGAGATGGCTGCAAAAACAATATTTCAAAATGCATACATTTATCAAGATCAACAATTGAAAATAGTTGTCATATTTGTTATCCAACAGAACAGCAAAATCTTCCCGAAATACCTATTTTTGGTATTAACCAGATACGAATATCAAAATGTTCCCTTGTATTATCACTTCTGGATATATCAGCTCACTGGAAACAGGCATATAATTTAGACTATCATAGATAATATTTAACAGATTAACATATAAAAGTAAGTCTGTTTAAAAACCTGTTTCCTACTACATGAATTACAAATTAGACTTACTATTTGACTTTAAGAACTCGGTGACTTCCCATGGTACTGCTGTAAACCAGTAACACCATATTCTGCCAAAGGTTTAAAAATGCTTGCAGAAAGGTTGTATCTTTTTCTGGCTGACAACTAAATTTGTATTAAAAATATGTGATTTAGTTACCTAATTTACTTGAAATATTACTTTTAATTGGTCTCCTAATATAGTACCAAGTCTTGAAAACAAAACAAAAAAAGTACAGTCTCATTTAATATTAAAATTAAGAAAATAATCTCTCAGTTAACATCAAATATATTATAGTCCTCTTTTTCTGCAAACTCATACACTAGTGTTTTTTGGGGAGGGAAGTAGGGACTGGGGCGGGGTAGTTTACCCCTTTACAACACCAACCAAAAATTATTAATAGCTGCTGTTCAATAAAATTCAGAATCCCAATATCCTCCTAGATTCCCCAGTTCTGGGCAGTTAAATCCTGCCTGAAGAAATATGCTATTATACGGACACACAACTTGTTACAAGGTTAAATACAGTTCTACTAATTTAGCAGATTAACACATAGATAAGACAGTCACACTGAATGAAAAAATTACTTTTGCAGACCACAGTGGTCAAGTTTCATTCCCTAAGTAAGCGAAGTTGTGGCCACCTTCCTCCTCGTGAACTTTTTGCAGTGATTAACAAAGGGCGCCCAATTCTCCTCAAAGGATGAAAAAGCAAACCAGACACCTAAACAGTTAACAGAAACAAAAGCGATTTTGTACGAAGACGAACAGAAGAGCGATTTTGCCTTTCTTTGGCCTCTTGTTTCGGTGGGCTCGACCCCCGTGACCCCTGTCAGCCCGGCGCTATTCAGGAACGCCGAAGCGCCCATTTGTGCAAGGATGTGCTGCAATTACTGTTGGTGGCCGCTTCCACCATAAATAACTCAATCTGTCTGCTGGTAGGACCCCCAAACTTTTCATTTTAATTAGTGCTTCAGAGGCAGTTAACATGGAGGCAAATTAGCGGCAGGGCCGGGAGGTGTCTGTCGCTTCCAATTTCGGCGGGGAAGGGGCACGCAGCCTTCGACCCGTGCCCTACTTTTCACACATCTCTGACTTCTCCGTAATGAAGTAACAAAGCTCCCCGGCACCACAAGGAACGGGCTGCATCCCGCCACGGGCACGGGCTTTTGGACGGAGAGCCTTGGAGCTGCAAACCGCTGCTCCCAGCGCACCAAGCAGCAAGGATATTTTCATTCATTAAAATCGGGCCGTTTTTACAGAGTTACATTGTGCTCCGAACAATGCCCTGCACAAACATTCGGAACACTAATAACTTCAAAACAAACTTCCTCTGAAGGCAGAAATAAAAGCAATATAGCAATAAAAACATTCATTCTCTTAAGTAATTCATCACTAGAAGAAACAACTGCTTGAGAGCTGCGAGGGAAGAGCCTTCTGGCTATGGAAGCACGAGGACACCAACATAAAGTGAAGCTGGTGCTTTATTTGGCGCCTCAGTTGCCAGAACTCGAGGCCTCATGAAAACATGTGCTGGATGAAAATAGCCAACAGCTTGTATGTAAGAAAAGCAAGCGACATTTTATTTACAATCTTATTTTTGCAGTCCAGCATGCAAAAAACTAACATTGTTCGAAGTTTATTTAAAAATAATTTCTTCCCCATGCAAGTCCCAGCAAGCACTACCTACTCTCATCATCTTTACACTTCAGCAACAGGAGCCTTTTAATGTGGTGCTCTCACTGCCCATCTCAGAGTGTTCCCAGAGCTCACTGGCACTGCCTTGAAATCAACTGAACACTTATTGCTTATTTGCTTCTTTGCGACACAGTGTGTTGCCACAAAAATCAAGAACTGACAAAAATATATATATTGTCTGGTGATTATCAGTGAGATCATCAAAGATAATTTTCAAAAAATTATTGTCCAAACCTTTTCAAGAATGTAATGCTCTCAGCTTCCAACCAATATTTTGTAACTGGATCCTAGCAGGACTGCAAATCCACTTTCACTCCTCTGAAATGCATATATAAGGGCTGAACATTATCACTCGAGTTACCTATCTGTTCTGTTGCTGTTAGTGCCAAGTTTGCCCCTCCTGAGGCCAACCACACAAGGCCGCGTCCGGCAGAGCGGTACCCAGTGCCTGGCGCAGGGGTGGCAGTGGCATCCAGGAGCACTAGCACCAGTGTGACCCAGTCCCTCAGCGCCCGCTCGGCCACGCGGGCTCGGCCGCCGCTGAGGACGGCAGAAGGGCAACAAGGCCCGAGAAGGGAGGTGCGGACGTCCCCTCGGCAACGCTGGCTGCCGCCGAGGCTGCACGAGGGCACCAACAGCCGGGATTGCTCTCACATCTGCCACAGTCCCCAGGGACACAACCAAACAACTACTCCTAACGCATTAGAGCACGAGCAGCTCCTGGGATGTTGGCCTGCCAGCAGGCTAACGCTGACAAAATTAAAAACCACAGGTTAAGCAGCTGATTTCCAAGTCCTCGATCTATTGTGTTTTTTTCCTCCCTATTACAGCCATGAAGAAGCATTCTCAAGTATGATCTCTTAAAAAGTGATTTTCACATACTGTAATACTCAATTCGCCTCCAGGGTAATTTAGTACCCTTCTTGAAAATATTACTGAAGATAATGCCTTTATTATCCAAAATGCTTTTTCTCTAAATTGAAACTCAACTGTGATTTCACGGACAAAAATAGCGGTCTACATGACTGAAGAAGCAAAGATAGAGCATGCAAGATATATCATACAGTCCAAAAAAGCAGTGAACTAAGCAGTAATTGTTTTTTAGTTGTGGCTCCAATATTTTTAACAGCATGGTCTCAAAACCAAATGAGCTGCACTGCCCCAGATTTCAGTAAAGAATGATAGGGCTGAACATAGAAACAAAGACAGTATTGTGGAAGGGAAGCATATGAAAAAAAGAAATGCCTGTCTCAAGACTTTGCAAGAATTAGAACATTAAATCCATCTCACCAGACAGATATGTTCGAAAGCATTTGCAGGCCTGTATGTACAACATCATGTACTTGCGCAAGCAAACCTGAAAAATATTAAATGTAGTCCCCATATATAACGAAGGCAAGAAATGGTTGGGACAGCTATAAGCATATTAGATTACCTCAAGCTTACCTCAACCATATGTACAATTCTGAACACAATTTTGAGGTAGAACAGTATGGCATAGGATAAAAATTAAACGCAACAAAGGTTTAGACTGACAATCTAAGCCAGTATCTAACAACTTATTTTTTAGATGTAGAATACAAAGACCTTATCTATTAGAGTTTTCTAAGGGTGATATGCTGCAACATAAGAAAACATGAGTTTGGATGAAAAAAGAAATAGGAATTTTAAGGACAGTTGAAGTTGCTACGGGGTAAACAAATGGTTTCAAAAATGGAGATTACTAATGTAGTTCACGTGGCATTCACGGACTTTGATCCCTGAATGAGTTGATTCAAGCTTATTTATCTTTTTACATTAATGAACTAAGCAACATGTGGGTAAACTTTGCTGACAAACACAGTGTATTGTGAATTCAGGTGAGTGTTGTTTTTATATAGGAAGATTTGGATGAAGGACTCAACTAACAGAAGTGGAATGAAGCACCATGACATGAAAGCAGCAGAGCTGCACATTTAAGGAACTCCGAAGAGTTTCTGCTGCATGTAGACCAGGAGTTTATGCATAGGAAATGACTTTGTCCAAAGACCAAATATGCCAGCTGATTACAGGATGTCAGAGATGTAAATGCGATATGGCAGGGAAAAAGGGGCAAACATGACTCTGGGACTTTATAAAATATTTTCTAGAGTAAACAGGAAAACACGAACACCACAGAAGAGAATTCAAACATCATCAGAAATACAGTGCACAATTATATACATATTGATACCATGTTAAGAATGATGAATTTGACATATGCTTAGAAGGATTGATTATCTCAGGAATACAATTAATTTTAGAAAACGCAACATAGAGAAACATAATGAAAGAAAGATAGTTATTCTATCCAAGGAAAACTGTTGGCTCGAGAATGACTAGGTACAGATTACCCATAAAAAATCAATTTAGACCAGAAATTTGAAGACAATTTCTAACCACTGCGTAGGTTCTAGGGGAGATTTTCAAACTGAAATGAAGTCCAAAGGCTTAAAACAAACAAAAAAACACCCCAACATCTGTTGTAGAGCAGCTTTACTTCAGGTGGTTCAGCTTTAGAAGAGCTGCTGCAACCTAGCTCACAGTTTAAGAGCAAAAAAAATGTTTTGGATTCTGTCGTGTATAATTCTGCCAAATAACTATATAACTCTACATTTCTCTAATGTACTTTGTAAAGACATTACTATTTATTTTAAGACAAGCCTACAGAGACTGTAAAAAAGCATCATACTGAAACAGCTGGGCTTAGCTATGCCCAACTGCTGTCAAACATCCCAAGTTAAAAATGTGAGAGAGCAATCCATTTACAATCTTTCTTCATGCAACCCCCACTTAAGCCCATGAAGAAAGAATATAGCCTGTGAATATAACCGCTAGCCAGCTGGCTACATGGCCATCAGCACAAGCAACTTCAAATTATACATGCAGAAAGCCTGGCTCTATTTGTTTAAGCACTA